CTGGGAACGATGTAAATTTGATTAGTAAGGTGTATAAATGCCAAAAACAAATGATAATAATGCCTTTGTTTGATTTAGGTTTCGCTTTCTTAATTAAATGTTTTGTCATTAATATTTTATAACCATTTAAATATTCTTACTACAAAAAGCTACGTTAGACTAGTCACCCAAATACTGAGATAACTGGATAATTTTGTACGGATCAAAACAAAAGTTTCTGGAATATTCCAGCCTCCGTCTGTGGCTCGAATCAATTCCAGGGTTTTATCTTTATTGCCTCTGGCCCTTTCAAAACGTGCGCATGCGTAAAAGAGTTCCGTGTGAAGTTCCGTTCCGACTGACTTGCCTCCATCTTGCCCCGAATCTGGTCTGCCGTCAGCATTTCTGCGACTCTCTGGCGATGGCTTGCTGGTGAGCAGCAGAGGAACGTGCATGCCTTACATCGTGAGCCATCTTAGATTTATAGTCACGGTGAGCAAAAAAAAAAAAAAAAAAAACAACAACGAAAAAAGAACTTTTTTTTTCGACAAATTTTCCAGCCGTAAATTGTTGAGATCCAAGCGATGCTGTGAGTGGAGGCGAGGATTATCTCAATCTAGAATCTTCGTCTGGAATCAGCGGCGACTCTTTGATCTAGTCACGTGAACCCCAACCACCCGAACCCAACAGAAGATATTCCGGTCTACGCTTTCGGTTCCTGTCGCAACGGTACCGTCTGGTCCTGGATTAGCGTATCGAAATCTTAGCCCTAAATTGTCTGCTGACGTCCTTGATACAAATCTAAATCCTAAATTGTCTGCTGTCTTTTCTTGAACCGAATCCGACTGTTTAAATATGTTCGTTTTTCACGAACCAAAACTACTCCTAAATGCTAGGTTCTTTTTTTGTCGGTTCAAATCCTAGTTTTTGTGTGATTGTGGTATCATTCTTTCGCAATTGGGGGGGGGGGGGGGGGGTGGTAACTCCATCCAGTACCAAACTAAGACTACTTGTGGTTATTGTTTAGTAAGTAGTTAGTTCCCTTTCTAAATCTGAAGGTCCAATGGACTACTAAAGTAGAGTTCACCTGGTTCTATGACCTCGGCATATGAAGGGATAGTGTGGTCAACACTATGCCCAGCCCTTACTTGAGTTAGGTACTTTTTAGAGCTGGGTTGATTCCGGGACTGATAGTTATTGTTTTAGAGCTATTATGTTATTGTTTATGGACCATTTTTGTATGGGCATTTTAATTTGTTTATTGGTCCACTTTGATATAGTTTGCGGAATAACGGCTTATAGTTTTCTTATGATTTGTTCTGATTTGTTCTGATTTGTTCTGATTTGTTCTGATTTGTTCTGATTTGTTCTGATTTGTTCTGATTTGTTCTGATTTGTTCTGATTTGTTATGATTTGTTATGATTTGTTATGATTTGTTATGATTTGAAAAAAGTTAACAGGGAAAGCGAGGCTAAAAATGTCATGCACGTATATGATCTCAGGGGCCCACTTCAGATACGGGTTACATACATGACATCTATTGTCATATTTCAATTAAACACATCAGTCATATACACACCAAACACATCCATACCACACACCCCTCACATACACACCACACATCCCTCACATACACACCACACATCCCTCACATACACACCACACACCACACACCCCTCACATATACACCACACACCCCTCATATTCACACCAAACGCCCCTCCTATACATACCACACATCCCTCACATACATACCACATACCCACACATACACCCTCCATACCCACACATACACACCACACATCCCACACGCACACACACCCCACACATTATCCACCACACCACGAAACATCAACACCACCACCACTGTGCACAGCCTCCAACTTACCCTGCGATGCCAGTGCGTCTCCTGGTGCTATTAGGTCGTGTAGCGAACTATGGCGACTGGTTTTTTTATGTTTAATTTATTATGATCTTCTTCAAGCAAGAGATTCTCATTGATTGGTCATTTATGTCCCAGTTCAAAGCCGTGGACTGGTGGGTACGAGGGGTGTGCTGGGCAGAGGACGAGTGTGCTAGATCGAGTTGATTGGGCTGTGGGTAGTTTTAGATTGTAGTTAGCAGAGTCAGTGTGCTAGCCATTGTATGCTAAACAGAGTCAGTGTGTGCTAGATAGCCATTGTGTGCTAGACATAGGCAGTGTGTGCTAGATAGTTTATTGTGAGCTAGACAGAGTCAGTATTTGTACTAGACAGAGTCAGTTTGTGTTAGAAAGACTCGAAGTGTGTTAGTCATTGTGTGCTAGGTAGACCCTGTGCGCTAGACAGTCATCGCAAGCTGGGCGAAGCAGCGGGGACGGGAAGGAACTTATATTTTCGGACTGACGGGGGGGGGGGGGTACATTGTTTATATTTGTTTATTCATTATATTTTGTTCATTGGCGGAGGGGAGGGATGGGCTGTAGAAATAAACTCTGTGTATAAGCCCATAGCGAAAACAAAAGGTTACACAATAAGGTTAACAGAACTACAACCATGCCATTGTTATCTTGTTGGAATCGCTGTAATCGCATTGAACACAACAATAGCGACTCACCAGGTGCATGCATGCGCACGGTGCTCACGCATGCACGCTGCGGGTCTACTCACTCCTAGTTGCACTACTGACTTTCAATTGAGTTGGATGTATAAATTTATGGACAGCCAGAGTCGAGTTTTACAAACTACCCAAAACGCCACAGACTGCCGGCCTATTGTATTATTGTATCCTCTTTATATATATATATATATATATATATATATATATATATATATATATATATATATATATATATATATATATATATATATATATATATATATATATATATATATATATATATATATATATATATATATATATATGTGTGTGTGTGTGTGTGTGTTTGTGTGTTTGTGTGTTTGTGTTTTTGTGTGTGTTTAAAAATAATATTCTAAAAATTGTATACTCTGGAGCCGTGGGGTACGCCTAACCCAATAGTAGCATGCCACTTGGAGACGGGGTCATAATGACTCGGTACCAATGGTGACGTTTGAACTTAAAATGACTTTTCCCTCCCCCGTGGGTCGATGGATCGATCACGACCAGCGCGGCTGACGGTCGCTGGACATTGGACCCGGTCACGTGATCCTCTCGGTGACAAATTTAGACAGATAAAAGTAAATTGAAATCACGGGTCCGGATCCCCCCCCCCACCCCTCCCTTACCCGACCCCCTGCCGGCTGATGTTAAGAAGGATCCAGTTTAGAATTGTTTACAAATTAAAGATCGCGGCATCCATCATTCGGTTAGTGCTGCACAGGTTAAAAAAAAAATCATTGTAGGGGTGGGGACTGGGGGGAGGGGCTGCTTAAGCAAGGCCCACTGTGAATATAGGGTTTAGCTAGAAAATGTATATGATACGACTTTTTTTTTCTATAATCCAATTTTAACCGGTCAGTGGTTTTGTGTACAATTCGACCTTTCAACGGATTCTAAAAAGCCAATCAACCGTTATCAGACACGATCTTACGAAATGTTGCCGTTAATCCATTTTTTTCTTCAGTTAAAAAAGAAATTACAGCTAAAAAATCCTACATGAACTTATGCAAATGATTTGTAGCAAAAAAAAAATATCAATATCTGCTTTTAGTTTATCTCAGTATCATTCCGTTAACATTAAGTCAACACTCAGACAAGTTAAGTCAACATTATGTCAACATTCGGTCAATATTTGTTTAATAATCAGTCAACATTCAGTCAATATTTGTTTAATAATCGGTCAACATTCAGTCAACTAAAGACAACATTCGGTCAACAATTCAGTGTAAATTCAGTGTAAATTCAGTCAACATTCGGTCAACACCCGGTCAACTTTTCTGTAGGTTTAAAGAATCAATTCTAAGCCCGCCCCTCCGTCACGCTATGTGACCTGTCAAACATCACTAAAAAAAAGGGGGTGGGGGGTATACAGATTCCCTTACAATACAATTGACCGTTGATATATTTTTTATAAGTCTTTTTTAATTTAAATAAAATAAAAGTCTGAACAACTCGACGTCTGCATGTCGTCTACCAACCCAGCGACGATGTGTGCGATGGTTTTAGCGATGAAAACGGTCGGGATGCGCAGACGCGCAACCCTCGTGCTAGGCCAAGTTCTGCGTGGTGTCGGCCCGACCCTCCCCTATATCGAACGTCTGCCGGCCCGTGGGGGTGGTGGTTTCGCGACTGACAGGCCGCGCCGTCTTCCCGAGACCCCTCGCGGCACGACCCCTCGCTCGCTGATTGGCCAGCCGCTAAGACGGCCACGTCAATCAACCCCAGGCCAAAACGAGGTCACGCGAAGTTGATGGCGGGGCGCCATGGTGAAAAAAAAAAAAAAAACCCGAGAAATTTTATTCGCCTTGGCTGTGGTGGGTTGGGGGATGGGACCAGACCCCCCCCCCCACCCACCCCTCTACTGTACCCTACGAGCTAGCTGACTAGGAAGACGGGCTATGAAATGTTAAAAACCGACCACAAAACTCCAATAACCTTTTAAAGATGTGCACCAACGCAGTGGCCCCTCTGCAGTAGTGTAAGTTGATAGCTTCTCTAGCCCGTATGTGCTAAAAATGTGAGGTGTGCGTTCCGTGCGACCGTCGGGCCTACCCCTCTCGGCTCACAGCGTTTTATTCCGCGATAAAAACAGGTTTATATTTTAATGAGAAGTTGAAAACACCGAGCGCGCTGTCTAACGCGTTTATTATAACTTTATAGTTCACATCGCCCGACTCTTTAACTACCGGCTTTAACTACCAGCCATAACTACCGGTCATAACTACCGAGATAGTAGCCTATAGTTACGGCTAGCTTGACCGAACATACAACATAACCGTAAAATATTTATTTTTTTTATAAAAAAAAACTATAACTTACTTATCTGATCCGCGGTGTTAACCTATCATTAATTAAGGTTAATTTGGACGTGTTAAAGGTCAGGATTTATGTTCTATTTCAGTCTATTTCTGCCCCGGATTAAGCTGGTCGGCTCGGGTTAATTACTGTTCACTGTCCTGGATTAGCAGCAGTTAATTAGCAAGAGACCTTGGCAGGTATGTAATCAACACCTAATTATTTTTATTTTAGGATCAAATTGTGTGGTCAATTCGACAGTTAAATAACGGACCTGACCCAACATTTTATGTAACCTTATTCCTGTTGGTACCTGCCGATTGTCATAATGTATAATACTTTTAAAACATCGCTTCTATATAACGTCATTTAAATCGTGAACTGAGTTCATTGTCGATTAAGTGCTATTACAAAAATATATATATATATATATTAAGTAATTTATTCCGAATTAAATGTTAAAGTAATTTTTACTTGGATGTAACACGAAGTACTACTGTGTAGTAGGGCAGTTCGCGTGCTGACTTCATCACGTCGGCCATAACTGTGTTAGACTTGCACGGTTCTTTGTTTTAGAGAATATCCTCCGTATTTTTTTAACCACGACGCGACCCATGTTCATTTTACAAACTCATTAGACCCGTGTTAGTTGTATCCTCAAATCTGACCCATGTTTACAATTAGGCTACATTACATGCGACCCGTAATAAAAAAAAAAAATAGCGTGACGAAAATTTGACATTATGTCACCCGTAAATGTGACACATGCCGGTATACTGGTATACCAAACATACATTCATACAATTTTATCAATGAAATTTTCTTTACGCCATAAGGTAAACAGCACATTAACTCGTTTTTTAATGGTGCTATTGTGTTAGGTGCGTCAGAGGAATGCCATGACAGACGTGTGTGGTGATAGATGATCATTAAGTTTCAGACAACCTGCTATACAGGTAGCTCATGTACGTTCCTAGGCATACATACATACATATATATATATATATATATATATATATATATATATATATATATATATATATATATATATATATATATATATATATATATATATATATAGTTAGGCCTGTATATACGTATGTTAAAATATACGTATATATAAAAATGTAAATTTATAGTTTGCGTATGTGTGTGTGTTATAACACAAATAAACTATAGATAGCAGATTAGCAGGCGACATGCATATGAAATTACATTTGTGTTCTAATTTACCAAACCCACATACCGGCTGCTTTACTTCCAATTTTGAAGCCAACAGTTTTAGTTTTAAATTTAGATTTTTTTTTTAAACAAGACACAACCTAATAAACAACAGAAGTGAATTTGGCCAAAATTCTTATGATAGTTAAAGTAAGTTGTTTCGGAACAACAACAAGCTACCCATCCCTCCCCCCTCCCCTAAACTTAAAATTATTATTAAAATATTTGAAACATCTTACTATTTCAGTAAGTAAAAAAAAATGTCGTTTTACCAAGCTATTTATACTATTAAATAAAATTGTAATCGTTTTACCAATACATTTATTTATGCTATTAAGTAAAAATGTAATCATTTTACCAATAAAGTCATTTAAACTATTAAGTAAAATTTTTATCTTTTTACAAATAAAGTTATTTATGCTATTAAGTAAAAATGTAATCATTTTACCACTAAAGATATGCATACTGTTAAGTAAAAATATAATCATTATAAAAATAACGTTTTTATACTACTAAATACATTTTTTTATCATTTTACCAATAAAGTTATTTATACTATTAAGGAACAATGTTATCATTTTACCAACAAAGTTATTTATACTAATAAATAAAAATGTTATCATTTTACAAATAAAGTTATGTATGTTATTAAAATAAAAATGTAATAATTTTACCAATTAAGTTACTATAAAATAAAAAAATGTTATCATTTTACCATTAAAGTTATTTACACTATAAAATAACAATGTTATCATTTTACCATTACAATTATTTACATTATTAGTAAAAATGTTATCATCTACCACTAAAGTTATTTACAGTATTAAATACAAATATTATTATTTTACCACTATAGTTATTTACACTATTTAAATAAAATTGTTATTTTACCACTAAAGTTAATTACCGAATCAACCACTCACATTAAATAAAAATAAAAGACTACCACAAGTATTGGATTGAGTATTCAGGCTGGGGTTTATTTTGGGGTTTATTTTGGGGTTTGGGGGGGGGGGGGGGGGGAGTCATGTCGAGCAATCTTTTAGGGTCGAAAACATGATAGGGATTTTTTTTACTTGAATTGATTTATTCTATTCAGAGATTTTTCCCGTCATTTTAATTTCCAACAGTCATTTAGATATTTCACAGTCATTTAGAGTTCTCTCAGTCTTTTTTAATACATTTCAGTCATTTATTTTTTAGTCATTTTAATAGTTTCCAGTAATTTTTGTTCTGTTCTAGTCATTTCAATTTATTCAAGTCATTTAGATATTTTTTCAGTCATTTAGGTTTATTCAAGTCAATTAGATTCCCATCAGTCATTTAGATTATTTAGATTATTTTTATACATTTATCCACAATTTCCCAAAGAAAGAATAGCTATGTCGCCCCTGTAAGGATATGTAGAATTCTGTATACTTAACATACATGTACACACTATTTTTGTAAACAAATTATTATGTTTACATACATTTTTGTGTACCAAAAGGTTTTGTATACCGAATAATTATCTATTTACATATTTTAAGTTAAGGGTAGTTAATATAAATAAAAGGTTAGGTGGGTAGTGGGGATGTGTGTGTGGGTGGAGGGGAGTGGGGTAATACTTAAGGCAGTGAGCTTTGATGACTCCCAACACTAAGATTCCATTGTGATGCATTTATTTCGTAATAAAGTCATCCCGTTTAAGTTGTATATTCTTTCTAGAAGTTACCCATTACAATGTTCCTTCACTAAAAGTCATGCTGATTAACTCTATATTAAATTATTTAAAAACATAATCACCATCACACTCACCGGGATACTAATTACAATCAAGGTAATATTTTTATTAAAAAACTTAATTAACGAAAACGATTAATTCTGGTAAAAACATGAAAATACAAATAATTATAAATTTAGACGAAACAATACATAAGATTTTAAATGCATTCATATAATTACTAATACGTCAATTAGTTTTTTGAAATTTACAACTAGTATTTTGATTAATGTAATGTGTATGTAAATAATAACTTAACAGATACATACATTGTTGAAGGAGAAAAGTCCATTACAAGATTGCAAGTACATTATACATTAGTAATTAGAGAAATCTAATGGGGGGGGGGGGGGGGGGGGTCGGAGTGATTTAGTCAGTAAAGCTCATGGTTGCTAAACCGATATTTGGCAACAGCAACTCTTCTAGGAGAGGAAATGGCTTAACCAGAAGTGTGTAGGTAAAATATTTTAATTTGAAGATTTAGATGTAAACAAATTACCGACACGAGAATATAGTTTGAAGTTATTAAACGTTATCTCTCAATTTAAATATCAAGAAATTACCATAGGAAGAGTATACAGTTACTTTCATTTTGTTGACAAATTTATACACTTCTAGTGTTTATATTTGTGGCTATGTATTTGAATGGGAATTTTAGTGAGAGGCGTTATGTATTCATAGTGGTTATATAACTGGTGTGATATATTCATAGTGGTTGTATAAATAATGTAAAATATTTATAGTGGTTTTATAAACGGTGTTATATTTATAGTGGTTTTATAAATGGTGTGATGTATTCATAGTGGTTTTATAACTGGTGTGATGTATCTATCAGGGTCATATGAGTAGTGTGATAAATACTACTTTTATGAGATGTGATTAGTGTGATTATGTAACTAGCGATATGTAATGTATGTGGTTAGATGTATGTAATAGTTGTCCGATTTGAATAATGGGATGTATTTTCTAGCGGTGAAAGGTGAATGTTAGGATGTATGTGATAGTTGTAAAATGTGAATGTTAGGATCTATGTGATAGTGGTAAAATGTGAATGTTAGGATGTATGTGATAGTTGTAAAATGTGAATGTTAGGATCTATGTGATAGTGGTAAAATGTGAATGTTAGGATCTACGTAATAGTTGTAAAATGAATGTTAGGATCTATGTCATAGTTGTAAAATGTGAATGTTAGGATCTATGTGATAGTTGTAAAATGTGAATGTTAGAATCTATGTGATAGTTGTAAAATGTGATTGTTAGGATGTGTGTGATGGTTGTAAAATGTGAATGTTAGGATGTGTGTGATAGTTGTAAAATGTGAATGTTAGGATCTATGTGATAGTGGTAAAATGTGAATGTTAGGATCCATGTGATAGTTGTAAAATGTGAATGTTAGGATGTGTGTGATAGTTGTAAAATGTGAATGTTAGGATCTATGTGATAGTGGTAAAATGTGAATGTTAGGATCTATGTGATAGTTGTAACATGTGAATTTTAGGATCTATGTGATAGTTGTAAAATGTGAATGTTAGGATCTATGTGATAGTTGTAAAATGTGAATTTTAGGATCTATGTGATAGTTGTAAAATGTGAATGTTAGGATCTATGTGATAGTTGTAAAATGTGAATTTTAGGATCTATGTGATAGTTGTAAAATGTGAATGTTTAGATGTATGTGATAGTGGTACGATGTAAATGTATGTGCCCGTGAAAAGATGTGAATATTCAAATGTGAATGTTAGGATGTGTGTGATAGTGAAAAGATGTGAATAATCAAATGTGAATGCACGTGCTATTGACGTGATACCTGGGAGGTCTGGCCAGATGTGCATGCAGTGAACCGTGACCTAGTTACCCTGGTCACGTGACCATATTACCCTGTTCACGCTGCACTGGTCAAACGGTGCTGTTTGATTCAAGTTCAAGGCATAGTTAAACATTCGCCTAAAATCACAGGCAAACTATTGTCTAGTAACCATATAGGACAATGTTGAACCGTTATCTAAAGTCACCATTAGGACACTAGAAAGCCATTGTCTAGTAAAACTGTAGGACATTCTTAAACCTATTTCTATAGTCAACATGTATGCCATTCTTAAACCTATGTCTAGAGTCGCCATATAGGACATTCTTAAACCTATGTCTATAGTCGACATGTAGGACATTCTTAAACCTATGTCTATAGTCGACATGTAGGACATTCTTAAACCTATGTCT